GGAAGCTCAAGCGACTGGGGGAGGAGGATGATCCAGACGACGATGAGGAGGAGCTAATTGAGGTGATCGCCAAGCAAAAGCAACACGCGACAACTGGTGGATGCGAGGAGGAGGAGGAGGAAACGGTGGATGAGGCGGAGGAGGGGAGGGACATGAGGAAGCTCCGAACAAGCTTTGGCGAGTAGGAGGAGGCTTCGGAGGGAGGAGGGGGAGGAGGGAAGTGAAGGAGGATGAATAGGTGTTGGGGGAGACAAGAAAGGGAGAATCTGAGGATGTTGGTGATGATGAGGAGGAGGCCGAGGAGGGTGACGATGCTGATGATGATGATGCTGGTGGTGGTGCTGATGATGATGACGACGATGATGCTGATGATGATGTTGATGCTGTTGTCGATGATGATGATGATGCTGCTGATGATGATGGTGATGCTGATGAATGATATGCTGATGATGATGATGGTGGTGGTGGTGGTGTGGAGTGGTGGTGATGAGGAGGAACAGCAGCAGGGTAAGGAGGAGCTGGTGGAGGAGGAGAAGCAGCAGCAGGAGGAGTAGGGAATGGAGGAGGGGACGGATGACGAGGATGATGATGATGCTGATGATGCTGCTGATGATGCTGATGATGGTGATGCTGCTGCTGCTGCTGCTGCTGATGATGATGATGATGATGATGATGATGATGATGATGATGATGCTGGTGGTGATGATGAAGCTGAAGGCGACGACGACGATAATCAAACAACAGCAACACACGACAACTGGTGGATGCGAGGAGGAAAAGAAGGAGGAAGCGGTGGATGAGGAGGAGGACGGGAGGGAAAGGAGGAAGCCCCGAACAAGCTTTGGCGAATAGGAGGAGGCTTTGTTGGGAGGATGGGGAGGAGGGAAGTGGAGGAGGAAGAGTAGGTGTTGGGGGAGGGAAGGCAGGAGGAGTATGAGGATGGTGATGAGGAGGACGACGAAGAGGGTGATGATGAGGAGGAGGATGATGATGCTGATGCTGATGCTGATGCTGATGATGATGATGATGATGATGATGATGATGGTGATGATGCTGCTGATGATAATGACGGTGATGCTGCTGATGATGATGACGATGCTGATGATGCTGCTGATGCTGATGAGGATACTGTTATTGATGGTGGTGGTGATGATGATGACCTAGAGGAGGATGATGATGATGAGGAGGAGGAGGAGGAGGAGGATTGACTAGGAGGAGGGGGAGGCGGAGGAAGGGGAGGTCACGATGAGGATGAGGAGGAGGCGGAGGAGGAGAACGCGAGGCATGGGGATGGAGGACAGCCGCCGCCAGGGCGCGGAAGCAAAGACGAGGGGAGAACAGCAAGAGAGCCTTGGCTATCACGAGGACGACCATGATGGTTAACTCAGGACTAGTTAGAAGGACTCACGTGCGGGGTCCTACCGAATGTTATTTGTTTATCTATATCTGCCTCTTTTTCTGCTTGTCACTGTGCCTCGCCTCCTTCCTTCTCCCCTTCTCCTTTCCATCTGGTCTCTCCTTCTCCTCACCCCTGGCTGCTTTTTCCGGGCGCCCGCCCATCGCAAACTTTCTGGCCGTGTCCCGCTCAGGTGCACGAGATCCATATGCGGGCTTTCCGGCTGCTTCTGGGGGTGAAGAGAGACATGGGCCTTCGCGAGTTTACGGAAGCGATCGACGGGATCGTGAGGGAGCAGAAGGAGCCGCGAGGTCTTCTCCTCACCGTTGTCCTCGCAGGTCCAGGAGGATGCGCGGGAAGAGAAGGCGGATGTTGAGGTGGAGGAAGGGGGAGTAACGAGGAGGAGAGGAGGAGGAGGAGGAGGAGGAGGAGGAGGAGGAGGAGGAGGAGGAGGAGGAAGATGAGAGAGAGGATATTAAGGAGGAACAACACAGTCTGGACGTTTCGCTGTGCACCGTGCTCTTCATCGAGTGCCACATGGAGTTCCCAGGATGAAGGGCAGGTTTGAGATGGACGGGTTGGCCACTTTATCCCGTCACGTCCCTGCAGTCCGCTAGTGGCGTCAGGACATCTGCCGCTTCCACATCATCACGTGGGAGGGTGCCAGGACCGTCTCCCGTTGCGCACACGCGGCCAAGCTCAGGTGCCAAGCGCATAATTGTCCCCCAGGCTCAAGGGGAGTGTGCCAGGAGCAGATGTGGCTACTGCGCCCAGGGCCCTTCAGGATCAAGCCAGCAACTCGCGCACCCCGCACCAGTGCCCTCGGACTCAACCAGCGACAAAGCGATGCGGCGTGCTGTAGTCCAGGCGCCATGATTCTGCGAAAAGCTTGCTTACCGCTTTGTCTTCGAACCGTGTCAGCCATAATCCGAATCTGACTACCGCTCCTGCCGGGGGGAACCTGGGCCATTGGGAGGGAACAAACATTGCAGGTTTGATTATTTTGGCGATGGGCGTCGAGGAGCGCGGGCACCACGTTGGGGGTCGGGCGATTTCATGGCGGGGGGGGAGGACGCCCCTTGAGGAGGGTTCCAACAATGATGCCGAGGGGCTCGATGGGGGCAGGCGGAATAGTGGTGGGCATGCGTCGGAACAGGCGCCATTGGTCTGTGACTGCCGGGAATCTGCGGTAGATAGCTCTTGGCCTCCAAGCGCGGGGAGTTTCTCTACCACAGCTGCCCCTCGACGCCACGTTGGGGGGGATGGGGGGGGCAAGCGCCGATTCCCTTGCTGCCGGCCCAGGCCCCCTTCCCTGATCCCTCGCCTCTGCTCTGGGCTGGATTCCTTCCGCCATCCCCTACTGCCCAGTTTTGGAGAGATCAAGCCGGTTCGGATAAAGGGGATGGCTCGGTTGCATTGGTCGGAAAGCTCGCGACGGAAGCAGGGCCCAACCCAGGCTCTGTCTTTTTCTCTTGCGAAGGTTGTCGCGAAATTCTGTTAGCTGACTTGGAACTTGCTTTACATTCCAGCTTCCGCCATCGCCATGCACACCTTCACGGCGACCTGGACTGCGTCTAGAGCGCAAAGTCTTCGAGCTTGCAGCCAGCATCCGCTGCGTCGGGCACATGTTACTGTTTCGAATGCCAGATGCCAGCACCGTCCTGCAATGGAGTTGAGCGTCGTCGACAGAGACTTGCCCGTGACACCTCGCGCGCACACTCAATTCAGGCCTTCAGATGGCTCAGGATGCCTCTGGCCTTTGAGAGGCTGTCTGTCCGCCGCAAAAAAAATACACAGACACCCTCCCATGGATTGCTCCTGGGCCTCAGGGGAGGGTGGCGGTGTACAGATCACCACTGGGAGAGCCAGCGACTCTGCACACCGCCGCTCTCCCTGCAGGTCTGTGCAAAGTTCGTCGAAGGGTGTGTGCGTGTGGGTGTGTGCATACACTCCAGGCGATGCTTAAGAAAACTCAAGTTTTCGGCCAGAGTCTCGGTTATTCTTAATGTTTCAATGTAAATCCTAACATTTGAATAGACATTCTGGGCTTGATTTCAAATTCTGAGACTATGAATTTCTTAACCCATGATTTCTTAAGCATTTCGCAGGGTGTACACTTTCGTGGCGTGCGTCTCAGTCTTCGCCGCGCCCCCGCCGCCCTCTGAGACGGCCTGCCCCCCTTCGCGCGCCCCCCTCGGCGCGCCGCCGGCCCGTGCGGAGACTTGTGGTCCGAGTCGCTGGCCCCGCGGGCCAGAGGCTCACCGCCCACCAAACCACCCCAACCCAACCCGAAGGCCCCAATTTGCCCTCCATTTCCAGTGGGGGGGGGGTCCGGGGACATCGAAAAAACACATGGAACCCGTACCCCCCCCAACCCGAAATTCGGGTCAAATTCGAGTCTTCGGGTTGGGTTGGGGTGGTCTGGTAGGTAGTCAGAGGCGTGCTGAGATCTCCGGGTGACTGGCTCGGAGTTTTCCACTTCGCGCGCGCGGGGGCCGCCCCGGCGGGGTGCCCGGCCGAGGGATGCCCCGGCGGGGTGGGAGATCAGAGCCGGCTTTGCTGCCCGGGCGCCGCCCTCGGGCCTGCCGGTAGAAGCTCCAGGAGGTGCCCAGGACACCACAGGATCCCTCCAAGGCGCCCACTTTGGCCCCCCGACCGCCCAAGAGCCATCCAAGAGCACTCCCCAGAGGGCCCCAAAATGCAACATTCCTCGATCTGCCTTCGGTTGTTTCAGAATTTTGACATTCTCGCCTGTGCAGCCTCTTGACGCTCAAAGATGGCCTAAGGGGCCTCCAAGAACGCCGTAAGACGGCCCAAGAGGCCCCCTAAGCGGGCTCCAAGACGGTCCTAGAGAGCCCAAGACGGCTCAAGAGGCCTCCAAAAACGGCGCAAGAGGCCCCGATGATGGCTCCAAGGAACCCAGATGGGGCACCCGAGCGGACGTTTCGAGCCTTCGGCCCCAAGAAGCCCCCAGGCGGCTCCAAGGGGCCCCCCAAAGGCCTCCGAGAGGCCCCGAGAGGCCGCCAATAGACCCTCAGGAAGCCCTAAGAGACTCCAAAGATGCTCCCAAGAGGCTCCCCAAACGCTCCCAAGAGTCCCCAGAACTGCCCTCCAGAAGCCCCCGAGAGCGCTCCGAAGAGACCCCAAAAAGCATCCCTGAGGACTCCGACCCACAACCTAGCCATGTCGTCGAGCGGTAGACGCCAGAACCCCACTACAAGCTTCAAAGCAACTGCTTCACATCCATGCCTGCTGTCGCCACGCTTCCAGGAACAAGACCACCGCCAAGCAGTGCCGCATGGGCCACGACCGTGCTGGCAAGCGCCAGCGATGGCAAAATACGGGCCGGCGGAATGAGCGAAGCGATTCGAGTCAATGCGTGTGGTTCACGTTGGATCTCCGTGTTTGAAAATGTACAGGTCTCAGTCCGCAAGGGTAATTACTGATTCTTGCAAATCTCATGTTGAGAAGTAGTCATCAGATGTTCAGCGAGAGGAGGAGGACGAAGCGGACGATTTTGAGGTACAGGAGAGTGAGGACGTCCGTAACCGTGTTGACGCAATCCGGTCTGGCCCGAATCATTTTGGATCGAGTCGTTCTGGGATGAAGCCCTCGAGGTTCAACTGGTTCAGGATCTCCTTGTATGCCGGCCACCCAGCGAATATCGCTACAAGGTGGATCCTCCCTGGAAGCGGCGATAAAAAAGAGCGGCAGGACAAAACAATGGAGCGCAGCGCTGGGATTTTTCCGCGAAGCGTCTCGTTCAAGTTTGGAGATCAGTCCATGCCATTATGTTGCCACTATCAGCGCATGCGGTAAAGGCATGCAGTGGGAGCGGGCGTTGGCGCTGCTCAGCGAGATGTGGGAGGCGAAACTGGAGCCCACCGTCATCTGTACAATCCGCTCGCGGCGCGTGCGAAACTTGCGAGCAGCTCGAGATCCTGGCGTGCCTCGGGGCGCTCCACGACGGCTCCAGAAGGTCCCCCCATGGCCCGCGACGGCCTCAGATGGCCTCAGGACAGCTCTGATGCGCTCAAGAGGACGGCAGGACGGCCCAGGAGGTCCCGAAGCAAGCCCTATGACGGCTCAAGAGGGCTCGAAGACCGGCCAGGACTCTCCGCGGACGCCCCACGAGGACCCCGATGACAGCCCCACGAGGCTGAAGTGGCCCCCCCAAGAGAGCCCCACGACGTTCCCAGGAGCTGCCCAAGAGTGTCGAAAGCGGGCTCCGAGCCGGCCCAAGACTCCCAACATGGCCCAAAGACTTCACGAAGCCCCCGAGACGGCCCAGGAGTGCCCTCGAATGGCCGTCCCGTGATGCCCTACAGCCTCCCAACAGACTCCGACAGTTTCCAAGGAGCTCCTACGAGAGCCTCCAGCCCCAACATCTTTCGCCGTTCCTGGTTTTTCAGAAGGCCCAAGGAAAACCTCAGACCCCGCAGAGTTCCCAGACCTTTCCTGGATGCTCCACGGCCTCTCAAGCGACTCCGATAGTTCCCAAGGAGCTCCCAAGCGAGCCATGACTGGGCCCCCCTGACCCCCCAAAGAAAACCCGAAACCTCAAACAACTCCCAGAAATACCTCTCACCCAGTTGTCCTCTCTTCTCTTCTCTTATTTTCTCTTCTCTTCTCGTCTCGTCTCGTCTCGTCACGTCTCCTCTCCTATCTTCCCTTATCTTCCCTTCTCTTCTCTTCCCTTATCTTCCCTTCCCTTCTCTTCTCTTCTCTTCTCTTGTCTTCTCTTATCTTCTCTTCTCTTCTCTTATCTTCTCTTCTCTTCTCTTCTCTTCTCTTCTCTTCTCTTCTCTCCTCTTCCTATTCTCTTCTCTTCTCTTCTCTTCTCTTCTCTCCTATTTCATTATCACATATTAGATGTTCTTCACTTCTGTCATATCCCCTCCTCTTCTCTGTTTTCTCTTCGTTTTATTCCCAACCCTCCTGCGTTGGGTACTCGTTTTGAATAGAGCACTGCGGTCTCCGTTCTCCTCCTCCCGCCCCCCCTCTCTTCCCTCCTCCTCTCCTCTCTTGCTTGCCTTCTCCTCCTCTTTTCGCTCCTCCTCTTCTCTTCTCTTGCCTTTCACGTCATCCCTGGCGGGCTGCGATCTGCGGAACTGTCACCACTTTCGAGGGCTGCTGGTGGGTCCAGCGGAGTGAGGCACCACGGGGACTCAGATTAGACCTCGCCATCCCTGGGGGGGGGGCTGCGATCTGTGAAACTGTCGCCACTTTCGAGGGCTGCTGGTGGGTCCAGCGGAGTGAGGCACCACGGGGACTCAGATTAGACCTCGCCATCTCTGGGGGGGGGCTGCGATCTGTGAAACTGTCACCACTTTCGAGGGCTGCTGGTGGGTCCAGCGGAGTGAGGCACCACGGGGACTCAGATTAGACCTCGCCATCTCTGGGGGGCTGCGATCTGTGAAACTGTCGCCACTTTCGAGGGCTGCTGGTGGGTCCAGCGGAGTGAGGCACCACGGGGACTCAGATTAGACCTCGCCATCTCTGGGGGGCTGCGATCTGTGAAACTGTCGCCACTTTCGAGGGCTGCTGGTGGGTCCAGCGGAGTGAGGCACCACGGGGACTCAGATTAGACCTCGCCATCCCTGCTGCGATCTGTGAAACTGTCGCCACTTTCGAGGGCTGCTGGTGGGTGGTTGAGTGAAACCACCAGCGGAGTGAGGCACCACTCAGATTAGACCTCGCCATCCCTCTGCGATCTGTGAAACTGTCGCCACTTTCGAGGGCTGCTGGTGGGTCCAGCGGAGTGAGGCACCACGGGGACTCAGATTAGACCTCGCCATCTCTGGGGGGGCTGCGATCTGTGAAACTGTCGCCACTTTCGAGGGCTGCTGGTGGGTCCAGCGGAGTGAGGCACCACGGGGACTCAGATTAGACCTCGCCATCTCTGGGGGGCTGCGATCTGTGAAACTGTCGCCACTTTCGAGGGCTGCTGGTGGGTCCAGCGGAGTGAGGCACCACGGGGACTCAGATTAGACCTCGCCATCTCTGGGGGGCTGCGATCTGTGAAACTGTCGCCACTTTCGAGGGTTGCTGGTGGGTCCAGCGGAGTGAGGCACCACGGGGACTCAGATTAGACCTCGCCATCCCTGTGTGAAACTGTCGCCACTTTCGAGGCTGCTGGTGGGTCCAGCGGAGTGAGGCACCACGGGGACTCAGATTAGACCTCGCCACCCCTGGGCGGCTGCGATCTGTGAAACTGTCGCCACTTTCGAGGGCTGCTGGTGGGTGGCCAGCGGAGTGAGGCACCACGGGGACTCAGATTCTGACCACGAGCAATGCTCGCGTGCCCTTGCTCTGCGGTTCGTGCCACGTGGCGCTGCGACTCGAGCTGGCGGTCGTCCTTCGGACCCGCAGAAACATCTGCTGAGCTCGATGAGCTAGGGGAACTACAGGAAAGAAGTGCAGGAAACGGAGGCCGGTCATGCACTCGCCGATACCTCGTTGCTCTGTCATCGTCTTTGCTGTTGCATGATCCTTATCTGGCCTGCCGGCGCCGCGGCTCGAGCTGGCGGTCGCCCTTCGGGCCCGCGGGAACATCTTCTGAGACAAGTGGACGCCGCCGCCTTACTTGCAGGCAGCGCATTGCATTCGCGGACAGCAGCATGGCAGACCGCAGTGAGATCCTCAGTCGCGTGGTGTTGCCAAGCCTGGTGGAGACGCGCGTGATCGACCTGAAGTCCCAATCGCGCGTGCACTGTACCTGCGTGGCGTTCAGGCACGCGCGTGATGCTGCTCGCTCCGCGTTCAACCAGTACGTCGCCAGTGCAACTTTGGACGATGGACAACCGATTGATGATGCGCGACCCCGGCCTTGAGTTTCTTTCCCGCGGGCCGCCCGCAGACCTGGCGGCGCGCCTGCGAGCGTTCAGCTCCCGCGCTGAAATGTGCGGGAAGGAGGCGGAGAAGCTAGCGGGCGAGCTACGCCTCGCTCGTTCCTTGCACTCTAAACAAGTTTTATCATGTGGAACTCTGCGACGACATGGCGCAGGCAGCGCTGCGGGTTTAGCTCGCGCTTGAAAAACGCGGCAGTCTTCTGTCTCCTCCCGCCACTTTCATCGTCGTCCTATTCCCCGCCTCACCTTCTCCATGCATGCTGCTGCTTCCGCGATGGCCTTTCGCCCCCCCGCCCTCCATTCCATCCCTCTCCTACCCCTCGTTCCCGTGCCCGTTCTTCTTCGATCCTGGGGCCTCAAGCCTCGTTCTTTCGATCGTCGTCCTGTGAATCGTTCAACGCATGCGCGTCCCATGTAGCTTGCGCAGCAAATCGCCGCGTCTACACTGTCGTTGTTCCTGCTAATGTTGGCATATTCCTCTTGCCATTTGATGCACGTGGGTTGGGTGCGTCGCAGGGTAGTTATATTGGCTGATGTTATAGTATATTATCATTTCGTGTATACCCTTCTCTTCTTTTAGCTTGTATCATGATATATTCTCGTCTCTTCAGTCCGTTTCTCCTAGCGTCTCCATGTTCCCGTCCTTTCCCTCCTCTTATCGTATATGAACTGATTTTGCCATATCCATTATTCTCTTATGTTGTATGATCTTATCGTCGTTTCTCTTCTCTTATCACAGCACCTCGTATCTTCTCTTCTCTTCTCTTCTCTTCTCATCTCTTTTCTTCTCTTTTCTTCTCTTATATTCTCTTGTCTTGTGGTATGTTCTCTTCTCTTCTCCTCTCTTCTCTTTTCTTCTCTTATCTTCTCATATAGTATCTTCGTTTCTCTTACTTTATAATATAGTGTACTGTCTTGCCATCTCTTCTCTTAGCTCATCATCAAGTTTCTTCTCTTCTCGTCGCTTCTCTTCTCTTGTCTTCTTTTCTCTTCTCGTCTCTCCTCTTCTCTTCTCTTCTCTTCTCTTCTCTTCTCGTCTCGTCTCTTCTCTCCTCTCCTATCCTCTCCTCTCCTCTCCTCTCCTCTCCTCTCCTCTCCTCTCTTCGTCTCTTCTCTTCTCTTCTCTTCTCTTCTCTTCGCTCCTCTTCTCTTGTCTTATTTTCTCTTCTCGTCTCTTCTCTTCTCTTACCTTCTCTTCTCGTCTCGTCTCTTCTCTTCTCTTCTCGTATCTTCTCTTCTCTTCTTTTCTCTTCTCTTCTCGTCTCTTCTCTTCTTTTCTCTTCTCTTACCTTCTCTTCTCTTTTTGCCTCCTTGTCTTATCTCACATTCTAGACGCTTCGCGTATCCCCACCAGCCCGTCCAGAAATAGGCCCCAGGGGAGTGGAGGTGATGAGGGAAGCGGGGGAGCATGCAGAAGAACACAGGGCGGGTACGCCGCCATATGCCCCAAGAGGGGGAGGATGTAGGAAGAGTCGTCGTCGTCGGAGTAGGAGGAGGAAGAGGAGGAGCAGGAGGATGAGCAGGAGGATGAGGGGGAGGAGAGGAGATGGAGGAGGGCGAGGACGAGGAGGACGAGGAGGGGAAGGAGAAGGAGAAGGAGGAGGAGGAGGAGCAGGAGGAGGAGGAGAGGGAGGGGGAGGAGGGAGGAGGAAGAAACAGAGGACAGAAGAGGAGGATGACAATGGCGAGCTTGGGGGCCCCTTGGGCCGTCTTTGAGGCCTCTTGGCGGTCCCGTGGGCCTCTCGCGTATCTCGGGGCGCCTTATGGAGCCTCTTGGGGATCTCTTGGGAGGCTCTTGGAGGCCTCTTGGGCGCCTCGTGGGGCGTCTTGGGGCTCTCTTGGGGCGCTCTTGGGGCGCTCTTGGGAGCCTTCGGGCCGCTTTTGGGGCCATCTTGGACGATATCTATCAAAGAAGGGGTGGTCGTACATTAGCCCTGCCCCTCTAGAGTGCCTCGAATCGCCTCTTGGGCACCCCAAGAGGCCAAAATCCTTCCCAAACCTAGGGGAAATCAATGTTTTGTGCTTTCTCGCCTTTTCGCTCT